GTTAACATTTTGGGTATATACTGGCGGTATAAGATGCATATAACTATTGAGTTAATGTGTATCATGGCCTCGTAATCATTTTTACTTTCCAACGGTCCTCAAGTTTAGAATCTTAAGAAATGCCTGGTTATAATCATATTCATAATAAATACATGTATACAAATCTCATTTTTATACTAACATCCAACTATAAGAAGCCATTTTCACATTTTGTTCAGGAAAGAGGAAGAATTCTCAATTAGAAGAGGAAATCCCTTGAGTAAATGAATCTACTTGTTATAGTGTGTAAATTAAGTAATTTCTAGTTTTCTACATCGTTTTTTTCTTAAATTTAGTTGTCTTCCATAACAATGTTTTTCGATATCAATGAACACAGCAGTTGTGTTTAAAATTTAGATCTCTACACTATATTTTATCTAGAAATATAATACGGGAGGTCCAGTTTCTATTCTCGTTGGCGGCGCCGCGTCAAACCTTAAATGTGAACATAGAAAGTGACTGTTCTTTCGCTAAACGCTCGACATCACAAGTAAAAGCCACGGGTCTTTCGGATATGACCTTAAAAATGTAGGTCCCATGTCGCGGTAGGCGTTGGCAGGTTAAAGAACCCTCACTGCTCAATGGCCCTAAGTGCCGAGTATAGATCTAATTTTGAAGCCTTTCACATGCATACGGTGACGTCTCCAAATGTGTGAAAAAATTCTTCAGAGGACGTTAAACAACATACAATCAATCAACATATTTACAATATAATGAAGATCGATCTGAATTATATTAACCCCCCCCCCCTTACAAATAACAGACAGTTTACTGTAAATTTAGTTGCACGTAATTACTAGCTGTAGTTTCTATATAAATATATGAGAAAAAAGTTTCCTGGTCAAAAAGTCGAGTTGCATTAAAATCTGACACATTCTAATTTTAGCGTTAAGAATTTAGAACTTTTGATTAATTGTAAAAGTCATGAGAAAATTTATGAGAATTTTCCTGTGAATTTTCTTCTCCTGTCAATTTGATTTACTTAAATATAAACTATTTTAAAAGTTTTTTTTCCCATTTCTTAGATATTTATTGTACATTTTTTTTTTATTTATTCATTTATTTTTTAATTTCAAGTGAATTTTTTTGAATAACAGAATGCAAATGATGCTAATCAGCAACTGATGTTCCCTAATAAAACTACATGTAACAAAACAATTAACGGAAGCAGATCCGATGTGGTGTATCCTATTTTTAAAGTCAAAGAAAATAAACTAACCCCAAGAAGTAGCTTCATATTTTCCCTGAAAATACAGTATCTGTCAAAAAACTTTAATTTATTTACAAAGTATGTAAATTGCACCTGGCACAGGCCTAAAATTGTGTAAAAAGACTGGAGGGAAAATTCTAAAGAAAAATATTATTTGATGGGGTAGTGGTGACTTCTATTGCCTCAAATCTTTAACTTTTCATACCCATTTTACGCATATTCGTGTTTACCAGGGGGGGGGGGGTCTGCTTTTTCCAAGGGGGTTCCATGGTAAATTTTTCCTTGTTTTAGTATATACATTTTTTAACCTTGTAAATTCCAGGAAGGGTCCTGACCCACCCCACCCCCCGACCCCCTCTAGATCCGCGTATGTGTTTTACATATGAACTGGATACTAGTTACATCCAACCCACAATTTATCAATGTTGTTGACACTGCATATTTTGAATAAATTGAAAATTATCCTTACAATTACATGTACATGTATATAGGCATATACAGATCAAAGAATTTCACTGGTTTATTTTGGATTCTTCCTTTTGGATTTTTCCTTTAGTGAAAAGGGAACTCAATTTTAAAAAAATGAGACCCGCTCCCGATCACATTTCAAGCGAGCGCCCTGCGAGAAGGCCACTTTGAAGGGAAACGGTGGAGAAAGAACGGGTATATGCAGAATATAGGAATTTTAATTAAGTTTCGGATCTTATTAATTTTAAAATACTTAATTTTAGTCGCAGTATTTTGTGGTTCGATTTTCAATCCCAAACAATATAGAACAATTGCACAAATCCTGACAATTCGAACTGATTAACTTGTTGATTAAATTGAATTACTTATTAATTTAGTAACTTAATAAACTTAATTAACTTAATAAAAATTAAGTTTTAAAACTATATATTCCTTTGGATATATCACGCCGGGCATTCGGATTCACACCTGAAACTTGAATCCGATAATAATTATTAGAGACAAGGCAAGAGTTTTAAAAATTAACATTTTTGGTATGTACTGGCGGTATATGATACATATAACTATTGAGTTATGTGTATCAAGGCCTAAGTATACAGGTCGTAATTTTTACTTCCCAACAGTCCTCAAGATTTACATCATTATAGTTTAGAATCTTAAGAAATGCGTGGTTATAATCATATTCATGATAAAATATACAAATTCTCATTTCTATACTTACATCCAACTATAAGAAGCCATCTTCACATTATGTTCAGGAAAGAGGAAGAATTCTTCAGTTAGAAGAGGAAATCCCTTGATTAAATTAATCTACTTATTTTAGTGTGTAAATTACCGGTAAGTAATTTCTAGTTTTCTACATCGTTTTATCCTAAATTTAGTTGTCTTCCATAACAATGTTTATCGATATCAATGAACACAGCAGTTGTGTTTAAAATTTAGATCTCTACACCATATTTTATCTATACAATATTATACGGGAGGCCCGGGTTTGATTCTCGTTCGTGGCGCCGCGTCAAACCTAAGATGTGAACATAGATAGTGACTGTTCTTTCGCTAAACGCTCGACATTAGAAGTGAAAGTCACAGGTCTTTCGGATATGACCTTAAAAATGTAGGTCCCGTGTCACGGTAGGCGTTGGCACGTTAAAGAACCCTACTATGTAATGGCCCTGAGTGTCGAGTATAGATCTAAATTTAAAGCCCTTCATCGGCCTACGATGACGTCTCCAAATGTGTGTAAAATTCTTGAGCGGACGTTAAACAACATACAATCAATCAATATGTTTACAATACAATGAAGATCGATCTGAATTATATGAACTCCCCTTACAAGGTCACTCAGACAGCTTACTGTAAATTTATTTGCAAGTAATTACTACATGTATATCTGACGTTTCTATATAAAATGTATATGAGAAAAAAGTTTTCTGGTCAAAAAGTCAAGTTGCATTAAAATCTGACACATTCTAATTTTAGCATTGAGAAAATTTATGAGAATTTTCCAGTGAATTTTCTTCTCCTATCAATTTGATTTACTTAAATATTTTTTTTTTCCATTTCTTTGATAATTATTTCACTGTAAAAAAAAAAAATAACCAGTTAAAGTCACTAAGAAAACTAGTAAATTTACTGTCCATACAATCACTACCTTAAGAGTAGTTTTACTAGGTATTGGGTAGATATACTAGATAAGATTAGTAAATCTAGAATTGATGAGTAAGTTTCACTAGGTATCTAGGTATTTCTACGATCCTAGTTACACAACCCACTATCTTCACCGGTAAACTGGAAGTTTACTAATCACGACAAATGCTTTACGAGACATACTAGTTAAATTCTCTAGGTTTTTCTTTCAGTGTTCTTGTACATTTTTATTTATTTATCCATTTATTTTTTTAATTTCCAGTTAATTTTCTTGAATAACAGAATGCAGATGATGCTAATCACCAATTGATATTCCCCAATAAATCTACATGAAGCAAAACAATTAACGGAAGCAGATCAGAGGTGGTGTATCTTATTTTTTAAAGTTAAAGAGAATAAACTTCTAACCCCAAGATGTAGCTTCTTATTTGTAAAAATATAGTTCCTATCAAAAAACTTTTATTTATTTACAAAGTATGTAAATTGCACCTGGCACAGGTACCAAAATTGTAAAAAAGAATAGACTGGAAGGAAAATTCAAAAGGAAAAAAAATTATTTAGAAACTACAACCTTCATTTTCCTTGGTCAATTGTCGTTATGATACATCAATAACAGCGCGGTACTTCCACAATTGATGAGATTTACTTGTTTGATATATGAACTGGATACCTACATCTAACCCACAATTTATCAATGTTGTTCATACTGCACATAAAAGAATAAATTGAAAAGTAACCTTACAATTACATGTATATAGGCATATGCAGATCAAAGAATTTCACTGGTTTATTTTGGATTCTTCCTTTTGGATTTTTCCTTTTGTGAAAAGGAACCTCAATTTTAAAAATGATGCACATTAAGAATAAATTGAAAAGTAACCTTACAATTACATGTATATAGGCATATGCAGATCAAAGAATTTCACTGGTTTATTTTGGATTCTTCCTTTTGGATTTTTCCTTTTGTGAAAAGGAACCTCAATTTTAAAAATGAGACCCGATCACAAAGCGAGCGCCCTACCACAAGGCCACTTTGAAGGGAAAAGATGGAGAGCTCGAGAGAACGATCCTCTTGAGATGCCGGTATATCCAGAATATAGGAATTTTAATAAAGTTTCGGATCTTACATGTCTTATTAATTTTAATATACTTTAATTTTAGTCGCAGTATCCTGTGGTTCGATTTTCAATCCCAAACTTTAGATTAAGGTACAATTTCTAGAACAATTGCACAAATCCTGACAATTCGAACTGATTAACTTATGGACTAAATTGGGTTTTAGGACCTTTGGACTTACGTAGGCCTCCGGACTAATAAATATTCGGACTAGTGGGGTTTCTTATTTATTGTACATTTTTAGATTTTTTAAATTAATTTAGTACTATTTATTTATTTATTTTATTTTATTTTAATATTTTATTTTATTTTAATTTATTTTGTTTTATTTTATTTATTTATTTATTTAATTTTTTTTAAATATCATTGTTATTTTATTATTCCAGTTGATAATCTCACAATACTTCGACCACCTCTTTTTAAAAAAAAACAAATATGAATTATCTCCCTTAACTAACTCTTGCCTTCCATAAGAGAACGTTTGGTCATTTTGCCAAGGTGCAGAATTTTGTATAAATATGGCGGACCAAGTGCTTTCATACGGCTAGTGTACATCTTATGGATGAAAACATTTCTTTTATATGATCAAGGAGAGAGAAATATGTTAATTTGCTAATGCAGGACATATATGTGAATCTCTTTTCACATTTCTATAACGGTAAGCATAACATTGATAAAAACTACAGGCACCTGACGGATGGATGGTGTTACTGTTAGTGTTACCACAGGCGCTTGTTTCATATAGTACGCTAGTTAAAGTTTTTTACTATATAATAACATATATAGTAGAAACTAGTGTACTGTATAAAACTAGCGCCTGTGGGAGTAACCCCCACCCCCTGAACCCCAACTCCATCCCCCAACCCCCTTACTGGCCTTAGCTTCTGAGAATTTTTATTAGACAAAAAAACTTATCAAATATAACGTTACATGATTTCCTACTCTATCATTCTTATACTTTGATATACAATAGCATTTTCTGCTTTTGTTAAGTTTAAGAGATTGGCCCTATAGCAGGTTGGGATCGACCACTTGCTTAAATCACAGGCACCTGAATTATGGATAATACCCCCCCCCCTTTTTTTTTATGAAAAAAAAATGTAAGAGTGTATAATACCTCGAAAATATAAAATTTTCCCGTCAAACACATCTATATGTTGTTATGTGCAAGCAGATTGTAATTTTTCTCATGTTTAAAGAATGCTGGCCCTATTCAGGTATAATAAAAATACACAAGGTAAGAAACAAAAGTTGTAAACAAATGGGGGGTTCCCCACTTCGAGACAGATTTCCAAGGTTATAACAGTGTTACCTATGATAATTTTGCAAGCACTGTGTCTGGGAGATGTTCTTTAACTAGTCTCTTAAACCTAAACCCCGCTGTTAGCATTTAATTGAGATATGCCATAATCGAATGATTTATTAATCGGATACATAGATTTTCTCCATTGACAGCTTTGGAGGAGGATTTGGAGCTGCTTTTCTGTTCCGTCTTTTCTGATTGGTTAATTGTAATTCAGTTTAAATATCTAACCAATCAGATAAGGCGAAACAGAAAAGCATTCTTACTTTTTTTTTCCTTAAAAAAGGGGGGGTATTTATATCCATACTTCAGGTGCCTGTGGCTTAAATTGGATACGGGACCTATATATATATACATGATTGTATACTTACAGTTAGTATATAGGTCCCTGATGGGATATAATATAGCCTGTTTGGAAGTATGAAAAGTATTAGTAAACCTATGGAATTTTTTTTTTTTTTTTTTTTTTTTTTTTTTTTTTTTTTTTTAAATTTAATGTGTCCCCCCATTCCCTTCTTAAATGTACAGAATCAGTCAGAATGGGTGTCTTGAATACTTAGAGTACGGGTTTGCCAGTATAATCGACTGTGCAGAGGCATCGTTCCCTGGTACCCTCTGTATCCAAGTTACCTTTTCTTTACATTAATTGTATGCTACCTTCAAGATCACAGATTAACATTTATACATGATAGTACCATTTGTTTATATATACTAGTCAAAATTTCTAAGTCCCCAGGTAACTTTTTAATTAACACCGCTCTTAGATTGAATTATTTAACAGTATAATTTAATAAGTTTACAGGATAAAAAAGTAGCAAAACATTTTTATCTCACTTAATTTATTTTATTGAAGCGCTTTAACACAATACGCAGAAATGTTAAGGCACCCTAGAATTAAAAAATCACAACGTTAAATACTGTATTATCCTCTATTTAAAGGAATTAATGGCAAGACGACCGTTCCTCAGAGAGTTCACAATATTTAAGAAAAAATCTCTTATTGAATGTTTTTCCATGTGGCGACTAGGTCGTTCTCATGTTCCGCTAGGTTCTGCTGCTGGAAAAGCTGTTTCACTCTCTGGTCTATCTTCTTCCCTATATGTTAATAAAGGATAAGATAAGAAGACAAGGAGGCTTACCAAAATTATCTCTGCCTTGCCTACAATAGTTACATAATATCTTCTTACATGTATCCCCCACTCCTACAGTTTGACATTGAGGGGAGGGAACTTCCGGTTCCGGTTCCATTGATTTTTCCGGATCAGCTCTAGGATGATGGTGTTTGTTGAAAATCTAGCTATTTCTAATTATTAAAAGAAATTCAGGTATGATTTGTTGGTTTTTTGGGCGGTAATTATAAAGGTTTTAAGTAAAATAAAGTCTTACAGTGAACGGAAACAGAACTCTTGTTATTTACGACCAGCTTGGGTCATTTAAACTTTACTTGCACATTCTTGTGTGGACATAAACTGCGTTTTAATTAAACTTTTTTGTGTTTTTCCTAATCAATTAAAGATGGAGAACACATGGAAGTAAAATTATGAAGAATACACCCGAAAAACTTATGGAACTCGAACTTCCAGATTTTTAACAAAAACGGTCACGGTCGAATAATTACACATTCGATTACAATTTTTTTTGGCCTTAACAGGTAAGAATTGCAAATTAAAGGGAAATGTGTAAGCAACTAGTAAATTGATGTTAAGGTTTTTAACTTTTTGAAAAAATAAAAGTGGGGACTTAGAAATTTTGACAAGTATATATACATATATTTGTGTGTAAATTATTATTTTTGTATGCATGGATATGTGTAACAATAAGTGTATGTTTATAATATATACTTTACAAACATATATTTGTATATAAATTATTTTTGTATGCATGAATTTGTGTAACAGTAAGTGTGTGTTTGTGTATGTGGGTATGCATATTATGTCAAATATCTATTGAACTAACTCCAAGAGATTAGTTTGCATTAAGTTTCTAATTATATGCTAAGTACTTATTAATTGAAATTACTATTTCTGTTAATACTTAAATGATTTTTTTTTTTTTTGAATGACCATCTTCAAGACTTAGGGTACAGGTTTGCCAGACTGGCTGTGTAGAGGTATCATCCCCTGGTTCCCTTTGTATTCAAGATGATAGTTTTATATACTGCCATTACTACAAGATTTTTTTTTTTTAATTTACCTTATATCTATCATTTTTATTTAATTGTGTTTTCTTTATCATTCTATGGTTTCTATGCTTTTGATCCAGTGTGGTGATGCACTTCTCAATGTCAAACTTAATCACTAGTCATGTTACATTATCCTTAATATAGAATTGTAATCAATGTTATCATTTTGTAATAATTGTTCATGCCCCCCGTGGGCCCTTGATTGGTGAATAAACATAATAATATATCCCAAATTGGATATCTAAATTTACAATGCAAAAAATGTTTTTATATATATATATATATTATATAATATATATATATATATATATATATATATAAATTTATATCATTTTTTTTAAATATCATATATCATATCAATATATAAATAGCAATAATTTTAGTTTTTTGCAACCCTACAGTTTGCGATTGATCCTCAAGAACTTAAGAAACGAGGGATCAATCTCCAAAACAATAGAAATACAGAAAAAAAAATTACCTCAGTTACCTGTGGTTCCATAATTCTTAGTGAAATGCATCTCGCTGCAAACTATGTACTTGTGGAAACCAAGACGTTCCAAGAAAAATTAAACTTGCCTTGATTTTAATAGATCATATACATGATATATAGCAGAGAGATAAAATTTGCATGTTGTTCAGTCTTCAATTTGGTAATGCAACATACACAGGACATCTTATATGTGTCATCAGATTCTAGCAAATTGCATGTGCATGATTGTGCAGTTTGACAAACCTAATTTAAATTTAAACTGAATATAAGTATTTGCACTTGCCCTAAAAGTGGCACCATCAACATATGTTATTATTGCAATGATATACTTGTACCTACATGTACTGAAGGGATAAACAATGCAGTATGATTATGAAATTAAGAATGTTTAAGGAAGTTATGTGTGAGTTATTGGTGTGTGAATCACACAGACTTGTCACATAGGCATATTTCATGAGGTGCACATTCCTTATATTAACATTTTACATGTTTGGAAGAACCAAAAATATACCGGTACTCAATATTTGATTTTTTTGCTGCCATGTATTGTTATACTTTTACTAACATTGATGTAGCCTTATTTTGATGTCACGTTAATTGACATTTTTCCACCTCTACGTGTGAATATATGTGAAAATGGTTATCAAATTAATTTCCCCATTGGCTTGATACAAAATAGCGAAGTAAATATTACATGTGTACTTCAGATATCTCCATTACATTATCTTAGCAGAACTCTTTTGTAGTGGAGGTAAGAACGTCTATTGCAAGGGAGCAAATGCGCTACTGAATACTATGCAAGATCGATCATTGTGGAATTTATAAGTATATACACAGATAACAAAGAAATCCTGGTGGAATACATGTATCTTGCTTTAAACATTTACTGACCCAGCCTAATTAATCTTTGAGAGGAGCAAATCCTAAAATGTTATATTTTTCTCTATATTTTTATTTTCTATACTCTTAACTAAGCGTACTTTTTGAAAATCTTTACTTTGTTTTTGTCCTGTCTGTTTTTCTGTCAGTCTGTCTGTTTGTCTGATTTTCTGTCTTTGTTGTCAACTTAACCTAGCCCATAACTATTGAGTGGATGTACCACTTTGGCTTTCATATTTCACAGGTGTATTCTTTGTGACAAGACCTTTCTTTGGATCTCACCAAATTTGACCTCTTGAACTTGCAGACCTTATAGTTTGACCTACTTTTACAAAAGAACACCACACTTTAACCTTGGCCATAACTTCTGAACAGTTGTAGTTAGGGCTTTCAAACTTCACCTCTGTATTTATTGTGACAAGACCTCTCAGGCTTTCAGCCAGTAGAAATATTTTTGACCTTGACCTAAAAGTTTGACCCACTTTTTAAAAACCTTAACCTTGGTCATAATTTTTGAACAGTTAGAACGAGGGCTTCCATATATCACAGGTGTATTCCTTGCAACATGACCTTCCTTTCGGTACCAACACTTTTGACCCTGAATTTTGGAGTTTGACATGCATTTGAGAGAATTCAGTCCTCACCATAAGCTGGCATACGGGGGCATCAGTGTTTCACAAATACATCTTGTTTAAGCTGATAAAATACTTCAAACTTTCCTTATTTGACAATCTACTATTTTGAGTTTTATCCTTGGCATTTCATTGTACTTTTTGGCATAAAGGTTGTTTGAATCATTCAATTGTCACTACTGTAAACAATGTCATGTCCTAGAAATCTTGCAAGATTTGGAGCTTTCTGGACTTTCTCACAAAAGAGCAGTAGTAATTAAGTTAGATAAATGCAAGGTACTCGTGATATTAAGTATTGGCTATCATTCATGCTCATATCAGTCTTGCTGCAGTTAAAAATAAATTTGATCTTTACACCAATACCTGTAACTGTATTGTCGTATTGAGACATTTGCCCCACTGCTCTAATGGAAACTACGCTATTGAAAGTTTTGACCAGTGAACATGGTGAAATGTAATTGATTGCAGAATAAACATTTAAGATACTTGACCTTTTGACATTGACCTTCAAGTTTGACCTACTTTAAAAAAAACTTTGATAAAAAAAAATGTCTTTTTCAATTGTTTGGAAATCTTGGTTAATCACTTAAGTATAACCTGTTAATTATTTTATTTTTTAGATTCATAATGCCTCTTCAATCAACACATCACTAATTTAAACAGAAAATGTCACATCGCTATCAGAATGACTCAAGATCACCCAGTGCTGTGTTTGTCCCTATGCCAGTGGACAGAGAGGCGCTGGGGGAAAAGAAGATGGAGGCATTACAAAAAGAGATAGCCAGGCTGGAGAATGATCAGGTGAAGAGGAAGGAACTCATAGATAAACTGTCAAACATGCAGAGGACTCAGAATAGAAATAAGAAAGAACAAGACAGGCTACTGGTAGGTTGTGACCTTTAAGGTTCATTAACCCTCTGCTCACTCATAAAATGTTGCTTGAACCTTATTGATTTTCCAAAAGAAATGTATTTTATAAGTAAATTACAAGCAATTATTGCATAGCTTGTGGGGCAAAATAGGACAAAAAAAAAACACGTCAACTTGGCAAATCTATTAAGGAATAAAGATATATATGTCATTAAGAGTTATCTCTCTTATCAGAGTATCAATGAACCTTAAAACTCGATCAGTACACAGCATTGTATATTGCGGGTTGAATATAAATATTAACTTTTTTTTTTTTTGCAGTTGAAAATTTCGAAAGTTTTGAATAATATTACTTCTTGTTTTTTTAACAGAAAAAATACAACAAAAAGAACATGCTGACAGATGAAATAGAACGTTTGTATGGAGAGGACACAGGAAGAAAAATTGGTGAGACAAATATCCATCATTCATGTACTCTAATATATGTACTTTAAAAATTAAGATTCACTATTCTTTAAACAGATTTTTCTATAATATCTAAAATCTGACACAAATTTGAGGAGAAGAATGTGTCTTACGCAATATTTATAGAATTTACCTTCGTTTTATTCAGCAAAATCTCCTGCCAGCCCGCGAGTGATAGACACAGTGATGGCACAGAGAACAAAGGAATTCTCACTAAAACAGCAGGAAAAGGAACTGGAAACACAGTAAGAACACTTCTATTTTATTTTTACTTATAGATAGAAATTGGTAAAATAGGTGAAAATGAGTACAGTTGACACATCTGTGAAATTTTAGATCTTTATTCAAAGTTCAAAATCACAATGGTTTAATATTTGCATGAATGCACCCTTTTTTACCCCAGCTCCAAAAGAGTCTGTACGATACATAACAAATTTTTTTCATAGTTTTCTCAGCAACTATTTATTGCAGATGCTTGAAATTTTAACACACTCTTTGTTTAGGCATGCCATATGAAAAAATTTATTTTTTTTGTGTGTTAATCTGATGTCAATTTCCTGTTCATCTATGTGTCTCTCTGTACCACTAAACAAATTTTCATCAAAGTTTTCTCAGCAGCTACCATTACTCATTAATAATTTTAACACACTTTTTATGGATAACTTCTTATATTTTTTTAGATACTTGTTGAAGGAAAGAGAGAGATTACAGATGGCCAGGGACAGAATTCGTGAGCAGCGATACGCTCTCCTGGGCACTGCTGGTAAGGGCCAACATCAGCTTGATGTAATATCTTTTTTAAAGGGAATGGGTTTGTATCGTCGATATGAGCCACCCTCACTCACTCCTTTACCATGGCAACGTCCACGATACAAGAACGGGAAAAGGGTCAGATATGTTGCTGTGCCATTGTTCAAGAGTTGGTAGTAGATGTATAGGTCGTCTTCTGGTGCTGGTGCTATGTTTTATTTATAATATTTGTTGCATGTTAACACTGCATGTTGTCTGTTGTCTTTGCTTGTTAATACTGCATGTTATTTTGTTGTGTTGGGATGCTAGTATGGTGATTGGATTCGTTTACAGTAAAACACATTTTTTAATGAACATGCTTATATAATTAATTGACAACTGCCGCAATGTTATTTCCATTCCTCTCTCATTCTCGATGATTTTAAAATTTATTGAAAACTTAAGGGATATATAAGAAGTTATCCATATAATTAATGAACCAGAATTATCCATCTGCGGCATTTCATTATAAGTGTGTTTTACAGTATAGTGCTTGACTGTGAGAATATTGACATGCTTTATAATTGAGGTTACATGGTGCATCAATCATTCAATGTTGAAAGACATTTTCACTCATATGCTTTAAATGGGTAATTGATCAATTTTAGCACAGAAAAGATTTTGTGTTCTGTTAAAATTAAATTGAATGCAGTGAAAAATAGTTTTGTTGATTTTAATTGATAATTATTGCAAAAATAAATGCAAAAATCATATGCATATATATATAGCATGCTACCACTTGAAGATCAAATCATAGAAAAATTGAAACACAGGAATTATAAATGATACATAAAATAGAGGTATTCTTGCCAAATCTTTGATAAGCTAAACATTATTTACATGATGTGCAGATTTTAAAAAAATGCACCTGTAATTCACACTTTGGTGACTGGAATTCAATTTTGGCACAATCATTATCCACTAAAATTTTATTCACAAAATTCTTATGTCAGATAGAAGATAGGTATGTAGAATATACTCCATTATATGACTTTATAAAAGTATGGTCAAATGCATGTTTGCCATAAGATGACTCTTAAGGAAAATGGACCTTTTTATTTATATTACTTGTACCTATTCCTTGTTGATTTATGCAATAAAGTGTTGGAATTCCTGGTGTCTTATTTTATTTGCCAAGAAGTATTATACCTGGGTAATCAATTTTTGTTATTTTTGAGGGGGGAATGGATTTCTTTGAGACACAAACTTTTCATGTGGAATTTTATGTGTCTGTATATATTTGTAGGGTTATATACATGTTGGGTATTAAAAAGGGATTTTCTGTTCTAATTATCAGAATAAATATTTATCAATAAATTATCAAGGATATGCCATCTAATAAAATTTTATGGAGACATTTTGGTTAATATCGAAAATGAACAAGATCCTAGTTTTATGTGTTCTCCCCTTATTTTGGCTACAGTTGTCAATTTGGAAAGTTTTAATGTTGTGATATAAAAATGGATAATTATCAACAAAATGTTTCTATCTAAGGGAAAAATGTCAATAACTTGATCTTGAAAATAGAGTAATCTACAAGAATTTTTTTTTACAATGTGGTTCATTTATATTTTTATTGGAAGTGGTTTAAAATGCCTCTTTTATTCGTACAATTCTAATATGAGTTTTATGTCCATCTACAAAAGACAATTTTTCTTAAACATTGAATAAGAACTTTGGGATTCAATAATTAAATCTCAACTGTTGAGTCAAGATGCAAAATTTAGTTTTCAATTGTAAGGATATACCTATAGAGTCATTTTCAATGTGCTCATTGAAAAATCAAATTAAATGCCTTCAGTAAGAAATTTTTCTTTTACAATTTTGAATTTAAATCTAAGTTTTGTATAGGTTAGAATACTATTGACAGAATCATATCAAATTAGAAAATCGATTTTGTTGCGATGTTCTTAATCTAGGTCACTTGACTTGGGCTTTCATGCTCCTTTAAATATTTCTTGAAGCAAAACAAAATGGAAGGATTGCTAGGTTGCAGCAATATCTTAAACTTTCCCATACATTTATACAAAGGACTTGAGTAAATATACATGTATTACATCTATAGTTGGGCACATACATAGAGTGGGCTTGAAAAATGTTACATTGTGAAGATACTTCGAAATCATCATTGAATGAGGATATACTCTTATTTGTGGATTTGATATCCCTTAAATTTTCACTCCTCACGAACAATAACAGATTGTCAAATTTTCATTTTGTAACTGCACTCATTCAAAGTTTTCACCAAGAAATTATACATCAATGAACTGAAAAATAATTTGGTGGTCCTTGAACATTGATCCTAATAGGAAGTAAAATGTTTCAACAGTACTTCAATTAATTATGTATTGTATGATAATGAAAAACATAAAAGCAGGACTAATTGATTAATTATTGCATAGGTCATAGAAATTCAAACAGAAAATGAATGCCATTGAATGGGCTCAAGGTATTTAAAATTTTTCTTTAACTCGACATATGACAATAGTCAATACAGTTGAAAAATACCCATTTCCAATAGCTAGCTATAATGTATTGGAATTTAAAGATTTCAAACATACTAATCAATATATGTCAGAAACCTAAACTATCATTTTAAAGTGTCATCTTATAAGGATAACTTTCTTTCTGAAAAGAATTAAATCAATATAAATATTCTAACTACCAAGGAAAAAGATTATTGTCAAAAATTTTATGAGTCACATAAAATGCAGAGGTCTCCTTATTTCATATCTGAGAGAAGTAACAATTTTGGTGAAGAGTTTTCAAAATATCTGTGCAAGATAACAATTTAATATATACAAGAATATTTTATTGATCTTGTGAATCATGTTGACTGTTTTAAAATGCTTATTATATAAAATTTCATCATACAGTTTTGTAAAATTTCATTAAAAAAAAGTAAAATTTAGCATATTTACACATTTTTATTACAGTGATATTTTTAAAAATTCTGAAAAAAAATAAACATTTGTGTCAATGTAATGTTTGTATTAAATGTCAAATTTTATACAAGTTAATCTGTGGTTGATGGTCAAATACATATTACTGTACAGTTTATTTGTATACAAGAAAAAAAGGGTGTATGCTTGAGTTGCTTACATTTACTTAATAGCCATATATTTTTATCACTGTACAAAATGTGTGTGTGTTTTGCTGCTGGGGCTTTGAAACTTTATTGTACGAGTTTTTATTTTACAGACAGTGCCATGAGTGAGCCCGACTATCACTACCGATCATCAAAGATGGCTGAGGACTCAAGCAGGATGAGTATGCGAACCCCGAGACAGGAGAGCAGTAAGGTCCACAGCGTGGACTCGTACGTCAAGCAAACCATAAATACACTACCTCAGACCATGGACAGGATAGCTCAACTCAGGTATGTCCAGCAAACTATAAATACACTACCTCAGACCATGGACAGGATAGCTCAACTCAGGTATGTCCAGCAAACTATAAATACACTACCTCAGACCATGGACAGGATAGCTCAACTCAGGTACGTCCAGCAAACTATAAATACACTACCTCAGACCATGGACAGGATAGCTCAACTCAGGTACGTCCAGCAAACTATAAATACACTACCTCAGACCATGGACAGGATAGCTCAACTCAGGTACGTCCAGCAAACTATAAATACACTACCTCAGACCATGGACAGGATAGCTCAACTCAGGTATGTCCAGCAAACTATAAATACACTACCTCAGACCATGGACAGGATAGCTCAACTCAGGTACGTCCAGCAGACTATAAATACACTACCTCAGACCATGGACAGGATAGCTCAACTCAGGTACGTCCAGCAAACTATAAATACACTATTCTTTTTGACAAGAATTAGACATACAACAAGGGGTGTGAGTCATGTCCATGATAGACAGGATGTTATGTTATAATTTACAAATTTTATCAAGAATTTGAAATGCAACAATGGGTGTGAATCATGTCCATGATAGACAAGCAGACTTAACAAAATCAGGATTTAATTTTATAGGAGGGAAACATAATAACACTGACTGTTATATTGTGAGAGTTTGTTGTTCACTTTCCTTTATTTCCAGACAACAGGTACAGCAGCATTATGTGTCATACGAGAAGCCTTACCGAGGAGAACTGGGCATTCAGACCTACCAACCTCATCAGATGAAGGACTACTTCATGGTATAACAGCAATTATACTTCCTTAAAACAATTAACATTATGCTAGTAAAAAAGAAATGTCCATTGGCATTGTGTTCATGCAATATGCAGAGCATTGGTGTTTGTTAAAACAAATTTATTAACAGTTTATGCAGAAACAAAATGACCTACCAAAATAAAATGAAATTAAGATGAAACAAAACAAAATCAAAACAAATCCTGCTGAAACGAAACAAAACTAAACTTTCAGAATATCTTTCAGATCAATGTATATAGTATATTACATGTAGTTATATAATGTGCAACTGCATATGGTCTATTTTTACTTCATATATATGAAATTTATATAGTTCAAGCACATGTTAACACAGGCACTTGTTTTTGTACCACAAGGTACCTAACTCAATTTCTGGCATCCCCACTTCAAGCTTATGTTTTGTTAATATATCAATCATTGATCTCAGTGATTGGGAAGGGCTTGCGCCACGCGCCATAGTCGCATTGAAGTGAAAAATGGTGCAAAACGCCAAGGTGCGCATTCAATTTTTAGCGATCTTATTTGGAAACATTTTGTGTTTAACTTCATTACCTCAACTTTCATTTTATTGCAATCAATTTTAAAAAACAAATCTCATTGGTGGAATCCCCCCCCAAAAAACTGCTTCCAGTTTATCGAAGTACCTAGATTCGGTACATTACAACATTTATTTGTAGGGTAGGGTGGTGTTCAAACCAAAATGCGATGTAATTTAATGCAAAATATGGAAAAAAATATTTTATTAGCGGTTTTCTTTGAATTTGCAGCATTGCATGTGTTCAAAATCAGATTCAGTTCATTAAAAACATGTTTTCTTTCCTACTTCACATTTGTTTGTCATTTGTTGTTTCTTAAAATGGACCATCAGATTATACGGATGGCCCATTCATTTTCAAAATGGCCCATTAAAATTTTTGAGAGTTGCGCCATAGTCCCATAGACCATTTTGGCCTTCCCAATCACTGGATCTGCTTAAAAATGACATCCTTTAATTTGAAAGACTTTTTCTTGTCAATTAAATCGTTTTTAATTAGACATCTTTGGTTGAGTCTCTTTATTGTAAACTATACTTATTTATTCCTCCAAAATTACTTCAATACAAAATAAGACCGTGGATGGGATACACAAGCACCCGTTTCGGTTACAAATGAATGATAAAACCAAAAACATCAGAATTGAATACTCAGAAGCCTCTGGTTTTATCCTATGTTTAAAGACATTTGTAGTACATTGTGAATACAACAGGACAGGAACTTTATTTCGACCCATACATAAATGAGTCTTTACATGTAGCACATCAATTTTGATAAATATGTTGTATCTAGATGAATAATAGGGCTGCATGGAAATAAGAGTAAGACATAAAAATAGAAAAAAAATTACATATGTTAAAATTATATATGCATAGTATGATCGAGCATATTTGCAGCTGGCAAATGTAAATACAGTCAATAGACAATTTTTCATGGGAACAGATGTCATTGCATCTTGTTTAAATGGTAAAAAGACACTTCACATTCACAAATTTGCAGATAAATGAGGCTCCACTGTACATCAATAAAGAAGAGAGCAAAAAGTTCACATGCAGTTACACATCAATGATGTATTACTATATTCCTCTCTGCTAATGTGTAGGCTAGTGTGAAGTTACAGACTAAACCTGAGGTGCAAAGTGTGGGTAGACAAGGAGCTTCCTCTCGATAGGTATTGGGGGTCAAGCTCAGACATCTACAATTTTGATTTGACAAGTAAAAATAATAGTGTAGATGTATCTACAGTTCAGTTATATCTTACATGATGTGTAACTCTGCTTAGGAAATATGGAAACTTCCTTACTGAATCAAATTCGATCAAAACATTGAATTTCCTACTTACCAAATATAACTCAAGTTATCAATTTCATTTCCTGCATGTATTATGGACTCCTGTTGCTTTTGGTGAAATTTTCTGATACAGACTTAATCTTAATAACACTTGAACTTTGGCTTAAAAAATTTCCAGCAAAAGGAATAGTTTTTTACTTAAATATATACTGCAAAACTGTAAACCTAATCCAATATGTATAAAATTGTGGAATGCTAAGAATGATTTTTTGGCATTTGAAACAAAATAAACTAATAGGAACAATTTATTATTAACTCTCCACCTTTTTTATTCACCAAATTTTTATGCCTGAGAAAATGTGTAGGCTACAGCCTTTTTGCCTATATGGAATATACACCACTGCACATATATGTCTTATGATTATTTACCTTGATTTGAAAAACTTTTTGATAGTTTTGTTTTATTTCTTTTAGGTAGGCTTTGTTTGATTTCGTTTCGTTTCATAAGTTTCATTTCGTTTTAATAGGTTTCGTTTTGTTATGGTAGATTTCATTTTATTTCGGCAGATTTCATTTTGTTTCAGTTCATTTCGTTTCATTTCTATTTCGCTTCGCACTTTGCAGGTACCCAACTGTGTATACCCTTAATTGATCAAAGTTGCATGTATGATGTGTCTAGTATACACTTGTATTTTATTGTATCATTCAGGTGTAAGATGCTTCATATTTTGTAAATATTTTCAAGAATATTTGAGCAGGTTAAAGATTTTCAAAGCAGGTCTCATTCCCAAGTAATTAGAAAACCTATAGTGACTACACTTGCGTGGATGGTGAATCTAAGAAGTAAGAATACACAATACCAGACTTGCATCATATGCTGGATAATACCTACATTTTTTGGTTGAGTTGACAGGATAAATTTTATTGACCAAGTAACTACAAGCTTTTTAAAGCCTTGTCTGAACCAAACTTGCCAGATTTCCTTCAGATGCTTGGTTTGATTAGCATTTTCTGGGAGATTGAACAATTTTTAGAGTAGGTCCATTCCTGAAGGTTCTGGTAACTACATTGTATAAGCCTAGACCTGACCAAACTTACATAGATGTTGCAATAAGGATGTACACTTACTACAAGAATTTTACCAGACTTATGAATAACATTTATTTAAGAGAACCTTGTAATCTTTGATTATCTATGTTTTGTGTTCATTTTTAGGTAAGGGGTATTGTGGATGATGTCGTCAATGATTTCCTTGACGTATACTTCCCAGAGGCTGTGCCAATGGTTGAAAAAGAGGCTTACTTGTGAGAACCCATTCTGTTTTCAACTTATTTTTTACCTAATGTTTTACCTTTCTTTGTGTACTCGAGGAGTTAGATTAATGTTTTTGTTTGTACATACAGCGCCACTATTGAACAGAGGAAGAGAGAAAGACAACAGAAGCTGCAGTCTGTAGCTGAGAGGAAGGCTGTACAGCTAGTGATGGAGAATATTGTCCTAGATGTAAGGAAATCTGTAATTTGATCTTGGTCAAATCAGCATAAAAATATTTGAACTTAAAATACACTAGAAAAATGTTGATTTTTTTCTTGATTAATCATGGTAGTGAGGCGATTTCATTCTCAAATTCCTATATCAGCATCCAATAAAATGCACCTTCCAATCATTTGTCAAATAGTAAAAGATTATCACACACCAATCAGAGGAAGATGTTGCTGTCAGTACTTTTAGTACTTTGATTGTTTTTTCTCTAGGTAACAGGAGATATGTGTACAGAAGTAGCCCTAGAAGACCAACATGCTGAGGGAACCATAAGGAACATTGTTGATATGACTATCATGAATAGAGCAGAGGTTTCATTCCTTATAAAAATTCAATGAGTTTTTTTGTATTGTTTTTATGCTCTGTAATTGCAGATATGTATTTAAAAACAACTAACATTTTATTTATTAGGAGAATCACAATATTTCATTGCTTTTTTAATGATAAATTACCATACATATCTTAATTGTTGAACAGGCCTCAAAACTTTCTGTATACTAGCTATAAAGTCTTAATTTAATTTCTTTGACAGGCAGTGGCCTTGCAGAATGAAGAGGGGAGACAAACCAATGATAAAGCTTTTAATGTGGTGACAAAGCAATACTATACAAGCCAGGACACAAGGAATGCTAGGTACAAAAATAAAGGAATCAAAATCAGTCATTAACGTCTACATGTATATTTATTGATTGAAGGCAAAACATCTCAAAGTTTATTCACTCATAAAAAAAATAAAGAGGAACATATATAGGTACTAAATGATATTTCACTTTTGAGTTATTAAATATTTTCTTTTTTACAATAAATTGAGAGTTATTTTTTACCTGAATTGCTAACATCCACTATAGGTTTATTTACACATTGAAAAGAAATCTTTCTTGCAATCAGGCACCCAGATTTGTTCTATCACACCTCAAACCTGTCCATGAAACGCGAGGCTGACCCAGAGAGGAAAGCCAAGATACCGAGGGGTCCTGCTGTCACCCCTGCAAAGGAGGACAAGGGAAAGAAAATACCCCCCTCCCGGAAGGACGACAAAAAGGGCAAGAAAGATAAGAGGCCCCCCACAGAGCCCCCTCCCTCTCAGCCAGCATCTGTCAGGTAAATATCAGGATGTTCTGAATTTATGCCCAATGTTTTTTTTCTGTTTGATAATGTCAATTGTAACTTCATAAATTTCATTTTGCAAAAACTGAATATTATTATGACTTTCTAGATTCACGTCAAAAATGAAAGGTTTTTTTTGCATCAGTTTTTTTCATACTGTTGACACTATGAAGTCTAGCTGTCTCATTTTCCATTAAATACTGAGAAAAATAAAATTTTTGTGCAATTTATAAAAAAAATGTATGTTTCTGAGATATAATGCATTTCCGACACTTCTTCAAAGGATTCCCACCCCTGAGGAAATTGTGGTTGTACTGTAAGTTCTTATCAGACTAAACAATACGTACTGACTGGTAACAAAGGGAACGTTCTAATTCTGTTAGATTTTAGCTACACTGGTGCATGTTGTTACAAAATTGTGTAATTCATTAAGCCAATTTATGCTATTTTTAACGAAATTTAAAATGTTGACTTTGTTTTGCAGCTTGTGTTCAGTAATATTGAGTGTTTAATTTATATTTTGAATTTTATTGGCTTTAACTTATTACATTTGCGCAGTATATTGTGAGAAAATTATTTCCAGTAAAACTCAAAACTGTGGCTATATATACTTATATTTCAGGTTACTTGAATAAAAACATTAAAGAAGTAAAATAAAGGTTTATAAATTATAATATGGATTATTAAAAAAAAAAGCAACTTTGAAATGAACTGACCAGTACATTTAAAATATTTCAGAGGCAAAAATAAACCACACTGTCAGCAAAAAAACTAAAATTGATCATTGTAGTACAAAATTGATTCATGAATAATGTAAACTTGGAGAATTCTAACAATTTTCCCGAATCTTGCTTTCTCAGAAAGAAAAGAAATCTAAGGGAGAGAACTTAAAAGAAATCAAAATGCACACAATAAATATGTATAGGTATCTCTGTGCAAGAAAAAAAACCGAATGTATTTCGTGGCATGGATTTGTTAAGTAATGGAAGAGAATTTTGATGACCTTTGTATATTCTCTATTTCTCTTTCTTAAAACAGTGGGAGAAGGTGACAGGTAAAATAGTAGAAAAAAAATGAATTTTAGATATTTTATTTTACATAGCAGCATTTGGGTAGCAAAATATTTTAATTTTTTTCCCCTACACTTGTGTATTCTTTTTATGCAGCTGGCAAGATCATATGGTTTGGGAATTCGGCTTTATATATGTTTGTGGTTTGCATTTTATTTGTTTGCTTGCAGGATTGGTCCAAGAATTTTTTTTATGTTTTTGTGCTTTAAATTTAATTTATTATAGCAGTGCACTGCTAATTTTAATGTGCACTATCAGCATAATGTTAGATTAAATTGGGTTGTTTAATATAAACATAGTTAGATTTAACTTTGCTTTAGCTATACAATATTGAATATTGTGTTGTTGTTTTTTTTTAAATATTTAAGCTAGATGTGATTTTGCTATATATATCCACAGATATTTTAAAAAATTCTAATTCTCTCCCAACTTTGTTTGAATATAAATAAAAAAAAAAATATAGATTTTGCACTGAGAGTTAACTTTTGATTTATAAAAACTTCATGGTTTACATATTTTCCCTGTTTTTTTTTTTTGTTTTTTTTTAATCAAATATGCACCCAGATGATTCTTTTTATTTTAATTTTGTAAAATTCATTTTCTTTTTAAATCCAATTTTAATGCTATAATTTCAATAATTTTTTTGTTCTAATTTTTCAGTGAGCGAGAGGACCCGGACACTATAGTATTAGAGTATCACCCCATCACCCCTGTAGATATAAGGAAGTATGAAACACTCCCTAATGACATTCCTGAAGTCAAAATAATCAAAGAGAAATACAATTCTTATTCCAAAAAGGAAGTTCAATACTGGAGGGTGAGTACTGTTTATAGGAAAGTAGCAGAATCAGTGAACTTATATTATATATGATCATATATACATGACTTGTACTATAAAAGTACACATGTCCTGAATTTTTTTAATGATGAAAAATAGAAAAAGAAAATTAATCATAAATTTTAAATTGAGCATAAAATTTTGTAGCTCTCTGTGAGCAATAAGCAGAGAGCTACATATCCATGCGTTGTAAAAACCTTCAATTAACACCGATGAATTTTTGTCACTACTGTAGGTATTTAAATTGTGTAGTGTAAAATTTTTCTGGCCTTTAGAATGATATTCTATATTTAATCATATATTTAACTATTTCTATTTTGATACTTTATTTACCTTTTTAATTTTACGGTCCGAAACAGTCCTGTAAAAAGTTTTGTAATGTCGTTTGTTAGCATTGACAGGTAAGTAAATTATCAGGAATTGAAGTTAAATGTATGATTAATTATTAAATACCATTTTTTAAAGCTGGGGAAAGTACAAGGAAAAATACCCAAAGTAAGTGACAAAAAATTGCTGGCGTAAATCACTTGGATCTGTAGCTCTCTGCTTTATCTGTCCGAATTTTCTCAAGCAGAGAGCTAAAGTTATGCAGCTACTATGAGCAATAAGCTTGTGAGCAAGAATTCATGAGAACAAAATTTTGCACATGTGCATTTTTGTTAGTACATGTATTTTTCTCCCTGAAAAGGACTAACAAATTGCACATGAACAAAGTAAAATTCTACTTTATTTACATACACTTCATACCAGATTCTCGTTTGCCTCTTGTGAACTGCTCATGGGCATTTGTAAGAAAGTTATGTATCGGATGTAAATATTCATTATAAAATTGGCTGGACAATGTTTTTTTATGTTTTGATCTCTATGAGATATCTGGCAACCACATGCCTATAGTGTACAAGAATCGGAGGCCTTTTAACAATAATTATTTACCTTTTTTCCAGAAAATTATTCCTTACATATCAGAACTAAGATTACCAAAAAGAGTCAAAGGCATCAATATAGTGTCATGTTCTCCTAACAGTAAATATGTGGCCCTAGGGACCACACGTGGTAAGTTTGGAAAATCATGATTGCTAAGTCAATTGAAAACTCCAAAAATTCATAGATGTGTTCATTAGAAACTTGGATTAAAGCAGCAATTCTTTTTTACATTGATTTCCTGAAAAGAGGCCCCTTTAACAAACTAAAGAACAGAGATTATAAAATATTTTATTGATATAAAATTTACTACTTATCGGATTATCAGGTTATGGTGACTGCATATAAATTGGTTTCAAATTAAAAAAGTAAATTTCAAGTAGAGAAAGAAATATATTTTGGATATTGAAAGCACCTTTAGACACAACAGTGCATTATGGACTTCTTTTTAATCGGTTCTGATATAGTGATTTAATTGTCATGTCACAGAATATACATGTATATTGACTCATCATGTACAATTGTGTGATATTGTAGGTGATGCCTTGATTTATGATACAGAGTACGACCCTTGGCGTATGATCAAGGTCATCGTCAATGAAAACAGTGGAGATGACCCCATTGTTGACATGTCATGGAGCATGGATTGTCAGAGAATCAATGCTATTAGTCACACTGTAAGTATGGTCTTATTATTGTCTGAAAATTAATACTTCTTCTTCAAAAGAAATTTTATTCTAAAATGACTAAGGGCCTATAATGTTATCAATATTCACAATGGTTAAAGTCCTTAAATTTGAGGCATGGAGATAATAGGGATATTCTGTGCAACATACTATAAAGAACGAATTGCAAATCTTTGGAATTGATGAATATAACTTCATGTTTCTGAAGTCAGAATTAGGCCTTTAATTAATAAGATTTTAGGTCTTTTACTATTTTATTTTCCATGATAATACATGTATTCATGAAATTGTCTGCATGAGTTTGATTTTACAATGCATTGTATTGCAGGGAAGTTTATTTGTGTACTCCATGCTGGGTGGAATAAAGAAATCCAACACGACTCGGATGGGCCTAGGAGCAGACGACACGGGAATCTACCCACAACAGATGGGCTTGGTGCTAGACATGGATCACTCACTGAAAGACTTCACATTCCAAGAAGGTAACAGCACTGATGGAGTGGATTTTTGTTTCTTTGGGAAAAAAGTAAACTTTTCATCATCAATCTTTAGTAGAATTATTTGTGAGAAAGAAATTTTTGCAAGCAGACAGTCTCATGTAAATACACAAAAATAAAGTGATGTGATTTACAGCAGTATTTTTCCATATCCATTTGTCAATGTTCTGTCCAGTCCAAAGTATTCAATCCTATTTAAGCTTACCTCAACAAAAGTGAGGAGAGGTTATGCTATATAATTTATAAGTCTGTATATCAATTCATTTACAAGCTTGTATTTGTATTTTACAGGTCAGTTAGCTGATGATGGAGTTCTGTCAGAAGTTCATTTACCCACTGTTGCTTCATTCTTTCCATCCTTCTCATTCCTCGGAGTCCAGGTCAGAATGGGTCTTTTCTATTCACTTCCTTTTAAGTTGTACAACTGCAACATCTGGATTGTTATCTATGTGAAACACCTTGGCTCTGTAGGGTAGAAAGGTGTTGGCAAAAAACTTTATAAGTGAAAGAATGCCACATTTTAAAGTGAGTTTTTATGACCTACTTTCTAGTATATACAATTCATCACTATCATGGCTAAATACAGAACTGTTGCTTTCAAAATCAACACTTGGTCAAAATTTCATCTCATTTTGTACAGGATAGTTTTTGTGTTGGCCTAGAGAGTGGAGACATCCTGAAATGTGACTTAGAGTTTGTACTGAATGCTCCAGGGGATGAGGACACACATGAATACGTGGAATCCAAGAGAATCTATAACCCCATGTTGACAGTAAGTTTAACTTATTCTGGATGTAACCTCATAATGATAAAAAATGAATGATGCTCTCAGAGAAATACATGTGCAGTGAACTTTGAAGTTGAGACTTTTCAGTTACATAGTTTTTAATAATTTTTTTAAAATGATTTGAGATAAGAAAAAGTTGTATTAAAGATAACAAGAGGCCCAGGGGCCACAGCGCTCACCTGAGCACATCAGGCTTGAATTTACTCCCCCCTTCCAGGCGTTCATCATTTGAACTAACTAGAATCTACACTACCTGAGGATGATTCCATATAAATATCCCGGGTATCACTAATCATAGCTTTGTAGTACTTGAAAATAAGATTTTAAAAGGTTTCCCTTTATATCCCTATGTAAAACTTGGGTCGGCCATTTTGGCCCCACCCTATCCCCAGGGCCGGGGGTCATGATTTAAAAAACTTGAATCTACAATACCTGAGGATGATTCCACATGAGTTTCATCTTTCCTGGCCCAGTGGTTCTGGAGAAGAAGATTTTTAAAGATTTTTTTCTATATATTCCTATGTAAAACTTGGGTCGGCCATTTTGGCCCCATCCTTGCCCTGGGGGTCATGATTTGAACAAACTTGAATCTACACTACCTAAGGATGATTCCACATGAGTTTTATCTTTCCTGGCCCAGTGGTTCTGGAGGAGAAGATTTTTAAAGATTTTTCCTATATATTCCTATGTAAAACTGGAATCGGTCATTTTGGCCCCATCCTTGCCCCAGGGGTCATGATTTGAAGAAACTTGAATCTACACTACCTGAGGATGACTCCACATGAGTTTCATCTTTTCTGTCCTATTGGTTCTTGAGAAGAAGATTTTTAAAGATTTTTCTTATATATTCCTATGTAAAACTTGTGTCGGCCATTTTGGCCCCATCCTTGCCCCGGGGGTCATGATTTGTACAAACTTGAATCTACACTACCTGAGGATGACTCCACATAAGTTTCATCTTTCCTGGCCCAGTGGTTCTGGAGAAGAAGATTTGTTATAGTTTTTTTCTATATATTCCTCCGCAAAACTTGGGTCGGCCATTTTGGCCCCACCCTTGCCCCCGGGGTCATGATTTGAACAAACTTGAATCTACACTACCTGAGGATGATTCCACATGAGTTTCATCTTTCCTGGCCCAGTGGTTCTGGAGAAGAAGATTTTTAAAGATTTTTCCTATATATTCCTATGTAAAACTTGGGTCGACCATTTTGGCCCCACCCTTGCCCCGGGGGTCATGATTTGAACAAACTTGAATCTACACTACCTGAGGATGATTCCACATGAATTTCATCTTTCCTGGCCCAGTGGTTCTGGAGGAGAAGATTTTTAAAGTTTTTTCCTATATATTCCTATGTAAAACTTGGGTCGGCCATTTTGGCCCCACCCTTGCCCCGGGGGTCATGATTTGAACAAACTTGAATCTACACTACCTGAGGATGCTTCCACATGAGTTTCATCTTTCCTGGCCCAGCGGTTCTGGAGAAGAAGATTTTTTTAAAATGCCATTAATTTTTAACAAATTCATGATTATCTCCCCTTGGAAAAGGGCGTGGCCCTTTATATGAACAAACTTGAATCCCCTTTACCCAAGGATACTTTGTGCCAAGTTTGGTTGAAATTGGCCCAGTGGTTCTTGAGAAGAAAATGAAAATGTGAAAAGTTTACGACAACAACGACAACGACGACAACGACAGACGACGGACAAATTTTGATCAGAAAAGCTCACTTGAGCCTTTGGCTCAGGTGAGCTAAAAACTAAAAACAAAAGGCTTGTTACACAGAGCTGCTTGTCACTCACTAGCACTTGCAAGTACTTCTAATAGAGGGATATGGAATTTTTGTTTGCAAGAGATTGCATTTTTGACCATGTCTGACATGCTTTAAGTAGGCTGCTTATCAAAGAAGCTCTTGTAAATTGTTGCTTTGTGGTATCTGAAAAAAAAAATCCAGATCTTTTAATGCGACTTGAAATCACATACCATAACTTCAGATAGTTCTTTGCCCTAACAAAATTCTGTTGAATACATGAACATTGTATTATGCATGCAAGTCCTAGAATTTAATTTTTTCACCTTTGATTTTAGTCCTCTAAGAGTATTAACTTAATAGGCCGAGGTGTAGAGGCTGAGCTGTTCAAACAACACAAGACAAAGATCATACTTCTTAGTTACATTGACCACATCAATGAACTGGTGTCAGTGGATGAGGACGGGTACATCTTCATCTGGAAGTACACTAGGTAAGGATGGATTCAATTTTTTATCTACAAAAGCTATGAATTCCTTGGCAACCCTGTTTATATAAAGATAGAAGAAATAGTTTTTTGAAAATCCACTTGATTTATTTCCTCAGTTGCAAAATTTGTTTTTTTTTTATGAGAGATTGTTAATTGTGAGGCTATAAAATTGTAATGCAAGTACTTTGTAAAATCTGCATGATCACTGGGTTATATAAAAGGAAAATAACAAATTTAAAAAAGGGTATGATTTTATGTTCAAGTAATTAAATGCAATGCATTGGTCATTCTGTCTATGCTAATGTAATAGTATTTTCCCTCTGGTCAATTTCTTTAGCCATTGGCTTCATATTTTGACTTAGAAAATTTTGAGTCCATGTCCATTTGATGTAGTTTGGGTGTCACAGAGTGCACATTTTAATTGATCTAAAGAGAGATGTTGACTTTTCAGAGAGTGGAAAGCTAGTGTAGGATGGTTCAAGCCAGCTAAAAAGTTCAGACTGTCTAAGTCTAAAGATATGTATCAACCCACAGAGGGGAAACCAAAGGTATGATATATATATATATGTATGTGTCTTACATGTAAAAAAAAAACAACATACCTGCTTAAAGCAAAATTCCAGGGAGAAACAATTTTGCTTTGTTTCTATGATAATGAAAATCCCTTTGCTGTAAGAATGAATTTATCATGACTGTGTTCTACTGTATACCTGCCACTTTTCAGAAATCCATTAATAAATATGTTTGTATTTTTAACAGAAATTATGTATCCACTTTTGCTTACTTCCATTGATGTGAATGTGATTGGATTAAAATAGAAAAAAAAATTAAAATTTTCCTATTAAAAAAAATTAAATTCAAGAAATTGACTAGATTTTTATTACAATGTAAAACTTCCATACTATAAATTAAGAAGTTTGAAAATGGAGGACATGCAGTCATCAAAAATAAAAAATAAAAAAATAAAAAAAAACCTGCAGATGGGATGAAGATTTTACCTACTATATCAATAAATTTAAATGTTTTTTTTTATATTTTAGATTTATTTAACTTATTTCTAATAAATTTGCTTACAGGATAGAACATACAAGGTTTGCTAGCATGTTAATTTCTATATCCTCTTTATAGATATACAACTATATATCCTCTATCCACTACATACCTATTGGTTTTGATTTCCTTTTCTCAAGTCAATCCATGAGATAGCTACCTCTCAAAATTCTTATACTTGGTTGAGGTCTTTATACCTATCATATTCTGGGATGGTTCCTTTATGTTGTTTTTATATCCTTTTTATCCTACTGCCAAAGATGTTTCCTGGTACATATACATATGTGTATTTCAGCCTTGAAACTCTTTATAGACTTAAAGAAGTCATAAATCTCAATGCTCTTCAATGTTCAAATGAATTTTATCAGAAGTTCTCTAACAACTTTGGAAATGATGTCCCAGGTCTTTCTTGCCTTCAACCCCAGCATGCATTCTCTCAGAAACAGTCCTTATTTTACTAATCTTTTCTTCCTTTTGGCTGGTTGACACAAAAATAAATATTTAGATTTTTTTAAATACACATATGGAATAATGGAAATGAGAGAACATTCATTCTTTTGCCATTGCAGAATATTTGTGTAAAAGTTTCCGTCAGCCTTCTCAGTGGAATATTTACCACTTATCTATCATATTTGTTATACAGGTTAAGGGTTCTTCTAGAGTATGTATCAGATATTGGACTTGCTTATTTCATATTTCTGCAACAGAAACTCATTTATTTTTATTTCTCCAATAGCTGGTCTTTACAGATGTCACTGCCACCATGCCAAACAAGAAACGACAGAGAACACGACAGGAAATAGCTCTGGACAGGCAACAAAGTGAATACTTTTCTACCCTTAATGTTTTTTACTGACTGACTTAGTTTTATAAATAGCCATGTTTAGCAATCAAACACTCTGTAAATCAATGGTATTTTCCTTTTATTTTTAGACATGAATTTAATCCTCAATATGAACCTTGGAGATCCCTGGCATGTAGAGATCCATGGAGACAAACTAGTAATTATAACTGTGTTACCCTGATCAAAGAATTTTTTCATTAGTTATTATTACCTGATAATTATTTTCATTAACCCTGTCAATGCAAGATAAAATTTCAGATGGATTTTTCTTTCCATAAATAGAATCCATAATCCAACTATTCAGATTTTTAGCCAAGTTGCTTTTATAAAGAAACAAAACAAATTTTCTTTTTTCGTCATTATTTCGACATTTATAAGTACCTGATGATATTTACCTTTATTTGTTGTTTTGTAGACCGAAGTATACGCCCCTAAAGGTGGGGTCAAGGATACAGGAGCGGTGTTCCATATCGTGGTCAAACATCTGGCCACTGATCAGTTGTCATCCTACGCCACCAGAGTCTACAAACCAGTCAAGGTAGGCAGCAGCTTCATATGTCGCAATGCTCTTAATGAAAAGAAATTATTTACAAATCTTTTATTTGTAAATCAATAGCTCTCACTGATGGAAAATCACTTGTTAAGAAATTATAATTTTCATGATATATCAGACTATCACAAGTACATGAACCAGTAGTGAGAAAATATCAAACATCAAATGAATGATCCTTTTTTTATCACAAGTACAGTACATAAACCAATAGTGAGAAAATATCAAACATCAAATGAATGATCCTTGCATTAAGGTTCATTCATTGTGTACTGGATATTTACTGCTGTTGATGATTCTTTTATGTTCGCAATCAAAACTCTACACTTCATTTTTTTCCCGATTCCACATCCATTAGTGTAAGGCAGCTGTAGTAAATAAGGAGGATTAAAGAAGAATATCTTACAGTTTATTTTTGTTTTTAAAAGGCAAAAAATGAAATATGAAAGAAGTTGCAGTTTATGAAATATATGATCAAGTAAAAAAAAATATATAAGCATTTTCTTTACACATCTCCACTCTACATTGTTTTGAAAATTGACATCTTGCCTTTGTTATTTACAGATCAAATATTCCAAGATGTCTGTTATTCCTACAGCCAAAGGAGATGCTCTTATTTTTATGTTACTTTTCCGTTCCTACCCTCCTAAAGGTATCCAACCAATCACCTACCAGTAATAATTTAAGCATTCAAAAAAAAGAAAATTTAACTTTTTATGACACAAAAATTTTTGACATTTAGTTGTCATTATCTAATGTGTTAAAATATATATTTTAAAAATCAGACTTTTTTAATTTTGAAAAATTTTGACAATTTCTTTTTCATTCTAGAGCCCCATGTGACGATTACAATATTTGATTTGAAGACCTTGGAGCTGCGAGATTTCCGACGAGACATTTATCTCTCCGAGGCTGAGCACACTGAGATGTCAAAGAACGATGTCTCATTTGCTGATGTAATTATTATCAAATTCACTTAATTACTAATATTGAATAAATACCAATAAATTCATGTAAATTTTTAAATTGGTATACATGAATATCTTGTAAAGGCCATTGCTAGTCAGATTGAAAGATGCTGTTTTCTACAAATAAGATCAATACAAAAATTAATTACCTGAACAAAAAATAACAAACTATTAGAATGTGCTATCTGCCAAAAATGGTGAAATGGGGACAAATTATATAAGCAAGTAATTGTTTTACTTAATCAAAGGTAAAATTCAGTAATTAAAGTGGGGAAAAAATTTCTTTTCTAAAATTCATAACTGTTTTACTGTATATACTTCTTTTTCAAGGTGACCAGAGTGTTTGGACCAACGGGTTCTGAGTATTTGTTCATATGTCTCCTTGGAGATTTCAAGGTCATCTCCTTGACAACTGGGCGACAAGTGGTCAAGATGGAGGATCCTTCAGTTAGATCTGGTATATGGATTTACCTTACTCTAAATTTATGTTTCATTGGAGTGGCCAAAAAAAAATTAATAAATTGTTTCTCAGGCACCGCCGCATCGGTAAAATCAGAGCCGCATCAACTTTTTTTACCATTATATTTTTTCCGGAATTTTCGTATCTTATCGTTATAGGTTTTTTCTTTTATCCAAACAATAACAAACGCTTAAGTGACTCGGAATAAAATGAAAGTCTATGTCAATAAAAACGTGATTTTTCGCGGGATATATCGATCATGTCGCTGTTTGTCATCTCCCTCGGGAGATGACACATTAAGATTGTATGCCGGAAGTGAAGTCCTAGTGTAAGCCTCCATTAATCTTTCGGGAGTCCTCGATGTTTTACCGAGATCCAAGTAGCCTGCAAACTGGTTTTCTTTTAGAAGAACTAGCTTAGGAGTGTGTGACCTACTTTCGGTTTAGGCCTATTTGAAAGCCAAGGAAAATTTAGAAAAGAAGTACGATGCTTATAAATATCTCTAGTTTTGGTGTGTCGTATATATATTGATCCTCAATACTATGCCTTATTAAATGGGTAAGCCACACAAGGAGAATTGACAATGACGTGATTTCTATATATAGATTTGTTGACAGGAAGGGAAAACTGGTTCTCGCACAAAAGAACAAAATCACAATTAGATTCTGCAAAAAAAATGAATGAAGAGTGGTCAACGCTAATTTTATGTTAATTTTTTTGTCTGTAATTGGATTTATTAAATTAATTCCTGTCAAACTTTAATGATTAGCTGCTTTTAAATGAATTATAATTATTGTTGATAATTTCGTATTGTGTTAAGAAAATACAGTTCAAGGAAAGTATTTGAATTAAAGTAAATTGTAAACACCCAGAACCACAAAGATCGCTAGAATAAAATTTCACCAAAAATAGCCTTGGGTGCTCTCGCAGACGTCCATGCTTCCCATATTATACTGCGGCAAAAAGAAACTGCGTACTTTACTGTGGAGTTTGCTGAATAAGTCATTTGGGAACTTCAGGCGTAATAATCCATATATTCATTGCATTAAAATATCTCCCTTTCTGTTTTATTTCTTTGACATTATTGATACCAAAGAGATGACATTTCAGGCTTTCTGGAAAGCCAAACTTGTATCAGCTCCGATTGTGAGTGGAACGTCCATAATATTACCATGGAGTATAATTGGGGGGTTTAGCGACAGTTGTTCAGTGGGGGAATTTTACGAAGTCGGTCGCTCTAAAACAGATTCATTTGATCGTGTTATGCCTTCAGTGCGCTTATCAGAAGTAGTGTCTCTATTCGGACGTTACATAAGATTTACAGTAAGTATTGGTTCAGAAAATAAATTTTTGTTCTGAAGTTTAGAATGATAATGTACAGTACATACATTTATTAAAACAGTTTGCTCTAACTTTGTAAGCCAGAGTTAAAAGCCTTTTTAGAACATTGTACAGTGTACTACATCCAGGTCTTACTCCTTTTACATTAAAAAATGTGCTGATCCAAGTTGTTCCATCTGTACTAGGCCACGTTTGCCTCCTGAGGTTTTTGAGCAGTTACATCGATTTCCAGACCCAATACTGAGTACCTGGTACCGTATTTAAAGTTTCAGCTTATGATATATGTGTATTTTCAAATAATTTTTATAGAAAATAAAGATCAGTATAGAGAGATATTTGAAATATGAATAGAATAATACATGAAATACAAGTTACAGATTTCAATTTTAAAAAGGATACTTTTTTTAATAGGTGAAGATGGGCACTACAAGTCATTTGATGAAGTTTATGGTAGTGAAACTACGGAGGAGCACAGGCCATCTCTTCAGCAAAGGGCTACAGCGAATCCAGGTCATGGGATACCATTTTCCCCAAGTGTGCAAGCAGCAAAAACAGTAAAGTGTATGTTTATTTGTACAGAATGTGAAAAACCTTGTGTAGTATATGCTGCTAACAAATTGTCAGAGCAGGAAATGGCCACTATAGAGCGCATTCAGCAGTTAATTCAATATACGTGTGGGTCATCCCTGCAAGAACTTAAGACTGCCGATAACAGAACACCACAAGTGAATGCTTTATTAGACAAATGTTTCACCAGGGCCAACTCAACATGTGAAATGTCATTAGAAGTTCCATATTTCAGTTCAGGATGTTTCAAGGACTTGTGTTTTCACTGTGGTGAGGAAGATGAGCTGCAAATGAAGCAGGGGCATATCCCATGTGTCTTAATTGTTCCTCTACAAAAACTCTTCCTTTGAAAAGGAAACATGTTAATCTTAAAGAAACTGTTAAAACAAAGACAAGAAGGAAATAAACTGTGCTTTTGTATTTGATTAATGAATATGCTATTAAATACACAATAAAAAAGTAACACAACAAGCTATTTCTAAATTTGATGCCTTTATTTGAAATTTATTAAAAAAAAAAAAAAAAAAAAAAAAAAACCTGCCTGCCTCATCAAAATTTTAAAAATTTGGCCCGAGAAACAATTAATTAATTTTTTTTGGCCTGGAGTACGTGATTGCTGATGGCTTTTGAATATATTTTTATCATTATTTCTTGTTATAAAAGTATTCTTACATGTATTAATTTGCATCATTTATTTTGAGTAATTGCTTTTCTTTAACCCTGTAAAATAATTTTAGTTAGGGTCATATTTTTTGTGATTTTGATGAAAAAATATGACGGGTGGGTGGAGGGATTGATTTCATGGATTACAAATTGTTGAGTAGTATATGAAATTTTACATTTTCTTGCTGGATATGAATTTGAGGATCTATTCATATACCTCAAAATGAAACCTACATAAAAATTATTGTTTTCACAGTACATGGATTGATTTTGAATTTTAGAATTTATGATTACATCAGAGATCACATGAAATAACTAACTTTGACAATTTCAGACAGATACCAGTATGATGAGGAAGGTAAATGTTTGTCAGATCCCTTAATTAATCTGACATTAACGAAATTTTACATTCTTTTTTACCATCTTCTAAATGAAGTCTTTGTTTTAACTAGTACCTGAATACCTTTCAATATTATATTTCATCGTGTATTTCCTTGTCTCTTGAATATCTTTTGACCTTTATCGATATCTAAAATTGACACTAAAATGTCATATTTTTTGTCTGAATTAAAGATTTCGTCATATATGTATGTATTCCTATGAATTCCCATCTGTGTGTGAATTCTATCATAAACCTGTATATTAATGTCTTTTACAACTACATGTATACCCATTTGTTGCTACGTAAGTATAATGTTCACTGTTCTTATAACTCCAAACTATAAGTTCAACAAGGAAATTCAAAGAATTGTGGTCACCCACTTTCACTATCTTAATGGATTGGATGCCAATATTTATTGTTTCAAATATGAATGCCCTATCATATTTCTTTAAAAAGTTATCAACGAAGTTAAAATTTTTGAAAATTAGGTCAGACATGAAGATCATGGGGTAAAAAATCATAGCATGTTTGGAAACATCTTGTTACAAGTAATGCACTTGTAAAATATAAAAGCCGAATCTCTTCTCATTCAAAAGTTTAAGGAAAGATAACATTTTTGAAAAGTTGGTCAAACTCCAAGGTCACAGGGTCAAGAATCATAGTATTTTCAGAAAGGTCTTCCCATAGGTTATATACATATGTAATATGAAAGCCCTATCTTTTTTCTTTCAAAAGTTTTGACCAATTTATAGTAATGTTTAAATTTTTGAAAATTATGTCAAATGTCAAGGTCACAGGGTTAAAAATCATAGTAAATTTAGAAAGACCTTGTCATAGGCAATGAACATGTGAAAAATGAAAGTCCTATATCTCTTCTCATTCAAAAGTTAATAGGAAGATTTCCAGTTGTCTCATATTCTGAATGATTATTTCATATAATGATATGCATCTTAACCATTTTGTTTGGCATTGACAAGGTTACAAATGAACATGTTCAAGCCAACAGAGACTTCGAGTATAAGCTATATGTTATGCTCCTGAGTATCTGTAAAAAAAGTCTATCCTTTTTAGGTTACAGAGGTTGTGTCATTGATACAGATGAACTTTCTCTGGAAGAAAACTCCAAGGTTGCAGTTCTATCAACCAATGGAAAGATGCATGCTATATTTTATTCTGCTGTAAGTTTGTGTAATCTAGACATTTGAATTTTTGTGAAAGTTTAAGTTTATAAATAGTATTATGAATCAGTAAGATGAAAACAAGGCATAAATAGCACAAATTTTCTGTGTGTTCATCAATATTTGTTGAGCACCAATTTTCAAGGAACCAGATTCACGAATTTAAATGCTCATAGAATTAAGAAATATGTTATTCATTTGTATAGGCAATGCTTTTGTCCACAAAATTATGTATCCTTGAAAACGTCTTTTTTACAAAATACACAAAAATTGATGCCAACGAAAATTGATGAAGCCACAGTACGTGGGGTTTGCTTGTTTTTTTCTAGACCATTGGTCGTGTTCTCTATGTGGAATTTGAGGATGAAAATCTTGATGCCACCAGAAGACAGATGTGGAAACTTTATGACAGACTGTAAGATCACATTATATGTATAAATATGTATTAAAAATTGTTTTGGATTAAAAAAAAAACTGCTTTGAAATGAATGCCTATTTACAAATTTTTTTCCTCAATATAATACAGTAAAACTTGTTTAATACGGAGATAGATATTGCTAATTCACTGATATAGTGAAGTCATCTTGGATCCCCCGCTATATAAATTTAATGAATTTCTTACATTGTTATAACAAATTACGAATATAGCGAAGTAATTTCATAGGTCTCAGCGAATTCGTTATAACTGAGTTTTGCTGTACTCACTGATAATAATAAATCAAAATACTTGAAAAGTTATTATATCCCAATGTACTACTGAGTATCTATACACTTTTTTTCTTTTTTGAAGTGAACCTGAGAAGAAGCGTCTGATGCCTGCAGAACTACGTGTGGACACACTGACGAGTGAACTGGGTGAAACACAGCATCCCTCTGTTGTCATGATGGGCTTAGTTATGGAGTGTATGGACAAGGCCATCCAACTCTCCCACAAGGCCAAGTACAACGATGACCAGAAGGACGATTTTATGATGTGGGACAAGGTCAACAATTACAAGGCCTTAGAAAAACCGGTAGGTCAAAGGTCAAGGTGAATCTCTCATTAGTAGGAGAAAGAGAATTGAATTTATCAATGAATGGAAACAGGGCCTTAGAAAACTGGTAAGTCAAAGGTCAAGGTAAATCTAAATATCAACTTGAGAAAAAGTACATTTATGAATGAATGAGAATATGTCTTCTTCGTTTTTTTTTTAAATTAGAACAGTAACAAAGTTTAAGTTTATTATATTGCAGTTTTTCCATCACACTGCTCAATGAATCATTTTTAAAGATATGAGAAAAAAGTATCTCTACCCACTTTTAGAAAGTATAGAAATTTTAATTCTTTATTGTTTACTTGAAATTTAAACACAATTTTTCCCCTACATTTCAGATTAACAGTGGAAAGATTCTGACTGGGACTTGAGATCTGACAAAGGGGAAACAAGATGACCTGCACAGTGATTAGACCTGAAATAAATTGTGATATGAATAGGAATTAATGTTAAGGAGGCTGGGGGGTCAACAAATTAATCATAAATTAACCACCAGATTTAACTTATTTTTTTTGATACGGTATCTTAAGCTGTCAACTATCATTTGGCAAAGAAAAAATTCATATATTTTAGTTTTAAAATTTGATCATTTTTCATATCTTTATATGGAGCTCTTCTTTTAAAGGAGATAAAAATAGTCTGAAAATGGCTGCCACACCCCAGCCTCGTTAATGAGATGGTGATATACTTGTAAATATTTATAAAACTGCTTCCACCAGACTAAAACATATCAAATGATGCCTAAATACTCAAACTTTAATGTTGTTCTTCCCTACTTCAATCTTGCATTTGGAGGAAATTGAACCATTTTATTGAGGTTGTTGGACATTTTGGACAATCTTTTTGTGTGCAATCCACAACTGACTCCTTAGAACTGGGTCTGTACATTTAAGAATTGTCTCTGTGATATTTTGACTTCAGGATAAAATTGATTTAATGTGTGCCATTTCTTTTACTACATACACAAATTTCATTCTTAGTTCTTTGCTGATAATTTATTTTTAGTGCTATTTGTATATGAGTTGTGCTTTTCCTGTTTAAGGTCAAGATCTAGTAAATAGCTTTAGACTAATTTTTGGTGCTAGATCCATTATGACATCATAATCAGTTTCAACTTTCTTTTTCCCGTACTTTACGGCTTTAGCAGGTTTATGTAGAAAATAGGGTATTTTCATGACATTCAATTTGAAATCATGTGAAAAGTAAATCGGGTACCTATATTAAATTTGATATTGATTTAAAGGAGAGGCCATGAACATACTTATTACCGTTTTCTGAGAGACTGTAAGCAATCTGGATACATTTCCTTTGTCAAATATGAAAAAAAAGTCCTATCTTCATGACTGGTTTTCTTAATTTTTCATTGAAAATGACAGTTTAAAATACAGTTTTTCATCTTGTTACCTACAAATTATGCCCCGAAACACCTTATTTGACCAAGCTAAACTTATAAAGCATCATTAAAGGAATTTATTTCTCAAATTTGATAAATCTGTAGGCACCTTTCATTTACTAGATCTTGTCCTTAAGTGATATTTTAACAGATGTTTTGTCTGGGCGTACATGTGTTGGAGTGAACAGATACCCAAGGGTTTTTGTTGGAAAGTTGACTCCCCTCTGTGTTATATGTGATATGTAACAAATACATGACTTTTATGTCATCAGGGTATACACTAGGATCTTTATACTTCCATAACTACAGTGAAACTTGTTTAATCTGGATGTTGTGTAATCCAAAATCCTGTCAAATATGATGGAAACTTTCAGTCCTTCTCTGATAGTAAATTAAAATGTTGTCTAATCCAGAATAATGCCTAATCCGTCCAATTTCTATGGAACCAATATGTCGGGATTGGACAAGTTTTACTGTATATTGTACATATAAATATGGCTTCCAACCAATATTAATCTCAAGTTGTGTGGTAAACAATATTATTGTAGATTTTTTCAAGAGAATTATTTTTATATGGGATATTTATTTTACAAACTATGTATATGTCTGGTTACATTAACCCTTTACTGTAAATGTATTACATTTGGCATGTACGATATTTGGCGGAAATTCAATTTTCAACAAGTTAGCGTAGATTTGATTTAGCGCTGTCTGAATTCGCTAGTTATAAAAGTTAATATACAAGACATTTAGCGATGTTCTTGAATTAGAGGGCTTTGCTTTCGGCAAAAATCGCTAAATAGAATACACCGCTAAATGTAATATGTTTACAGTACTGTTGCGATTAGCATACATTATTTATCTCTCAGCTTTTTGTGCCAAATATGAGTCTTATTTTCTGGTATTTATAAGAAATATTGCATATATAGTAAAACTCGGATATAACAAAGTCACTGGGACCTATCGTCGCTGCGCTTCCAAAACCTCGTAAGTCAATAACTGATAATTTTCAGAAGAGGCAAAAAACTGTTCAATTTGTTTCCTTTTAGTGACATATCAAAATTGCTTTCACATTTATGATTAATAGCCATTGTTTTGAAGATGAAGATTTGCAATCTTATCTACTGTGCATAGTACAGATCATAGCGGACTTACGATGATTTGTCTCTATTTTTGTATTTTTTCTGGTACTTACGACCTTTTGTCACATATCGTTTTTACATATCAATAAATTATTTTTGCCCCATAATTGATAAATAACGGTTTCAATTATACAAAGTAGAGATGAGATCACCCTAAGTGGTTCATGTTCTCCTTTTTCATCCCCTTCATGAATTGAAAACCTTTATGATCTATAGGATTCGCCGTGTAAAATTCATTCCAAACATGAAATAATGATAACATGCTATGTGTTTGCAAAAATTTATTTCTAATGCTACAATTTAGAACAAATAAACAGTATAGCTTTACTGTAGGGAAAAATAAAATCATAATCAACAAAAATTAAAAAAAAAAAATTGAATTCACAAAGTCCAGGTAAGTACAACATTCTCATTAAAGTGTGGCCAACTGTCAGTTAAGTTTGACATTCTCATTGGTGTGGCAAGTTGTCATAAAAAGGGTGATAGTCGAGGGGTATCACTCTTTTTAGTTCCTGTAGATGCCCATATTTTGCTTCTTTGATCTTGATTCGTCGCTGGTATAAATTTCCAACAACATCATCTGAGGGTGACCGAATTCTAGCCCGTCTTGGAAATTCCATAAATTCATCCCCGTCATGATGCAACTTGTATCCTATTGTACCATTAGGTAGGTATCTCAACACCCTAAGATCGGTAACGGTAGGTTCGCCAGCTTTGCTTCCAGGTCGAATCGACTGGTAGTAATTCAAGGTGGTGAAATCTTTGAAAAAGTCATGTGTCAAATACTTCACGGTATATGGCTGAGATGGCCTACATGCTTTCATGATGTCGACATAATTTTGTGGAATATAGATTGGTTTGTTGCGAAGTTTCCTCTCAATTACACTATGAACGCTATCTACCTCCATCTGCGTGTGACCTTTCTCCAAAATTTTCTGAACAATTCGAATGTTCTTATCATGTGATATTTTTAATAAGGCGTTAGCTAACACAACATTCCTATTTTGATAAGTGCATCCATCACTGTACATTATGACTTCTTCGATTCTTTCCTCAAGATTATCTACATAATCAGCGATACATGAGGCAAATGCATTTGCTGATAAATCGCCCTCCGCTTCATGCCAAAAGTAGCACGTCACTTCTTTCGTACACAAATCAAATACTGTGAAATTGTGACAACCTAGTTTACTTTTGTAATACATAGAGCTTGCTTTCAACATAGGGGAAAGTAGCAGGGCCTGCAAATCAAAAACAATTACTTTCAGGTTGTCTTCATTGAGTGCCCTATCTTTATCAATTTCTTTTGCTGTGCGTGCTGCTGTCTTCATCTCTAAATGTTTCGCGTAGATCTCTTCTGATATATTTTTTGTCTCAAAGCCACAACATGTATCACACTGATCTTTCTTAGGGCTGAATAAAGAGAGGTTCTGGCTTTCAAATACTTCTGTAAACGTTTTCCTTGAAAGGAATGCTTGGTTACATTGTTTGGACTTTTCAATGTATTCATTGTAGAGTTCACAGAAGGAATTAAAAGTTGGTTCCAAATACTGTTTCAAGGTAGATGATCTGCAATAATGTGATGGCATCTTTGGTAGTTGTTTCAAAAAGTCATTAGCAAAAGAAACCTTTTCTGGGGCTCGACTTTGTATCTGTCTTTGGGTGGGTGGCTTTGGAATTCCCCTATCTGCATTATCAATCCACGAATAAACGGTCTTTTCACCAATGCCTAAGGTAAGCAAAAACATGGCTTTGCAAACTGGAACCCTTTCATGGTTTCGTTTGAGATGATAAACTAGAGATCTAGAACGCCTGCTTATATCTTTGTCTTGCTTCCTCTGTTTACAACCTTTCACATCCACCAACGTTGAAATGTAAACTTTTTTCTGATCCCAGTCCATATTGTTCCAGAATTGATTGAAAATGCTTCTTCTTTCTTCCTCGCCTATCGAAGAACAGTTCTGACACTTCCTCGAGCACTTTCTTTCTTTCATCACTCTTTCTGGTCTCTCTACTGTAAATTTATAGTGACCGGAAATTTTCGTCATCCCTTTATAGCCTTTTCCTTGCATTCGTAATGCTTTTTGCTTATTTTTCTCCCAGTCTGTTGGGTTTCTTTTTCTATCTTTCTTAGGTTCCTGTGCGGTTCTCATGTCATTGGCCATCTCTGAATGAATTTCTTGTCTATCATCAAGAGTTTCAGGATCTGATTGTTCATGTTCCGACTCGTTGTTTTGGTCTACTTGCAGTTGTTCAGGAGGTACAGTTTCTGATTGACTCTGCTCCCCAAGAATCACTTCTCTTTCAAATGGAATCTGCTCGTCGTTAATGGGTTCATTGGAAATGTTACAAGGAGCCCCTTGGTTTTTATCAGTTCTTACGATTTCCTCACCAATATTATTGACTTTTGCATTTGTATCATTGACTGATTTATTCGTGAAATTACTAGTAACAGTTTTGTTTTTCTTGATCTGTTTGATTTTTATCGTTTTTCTTCTCTTTCTTTTACGCGTACTGCTACAATCTGATTCGCTGTCTGAGCTTTGTAACATTTCTTTTCTTTTCGGCTGCCAAACTGGATCATCAGAACTATCATACAGCATTTCATCATCAGACTCATTGTGAAGATCGTTTTCATATTGCATGTTATCGTTTTCATCACGTTGATCTTTTTCATTCTCGTCTACTGATTCTGTAACAACCGATCCCTGGATTTGAAAATTTCTAAATTCGTTTGTATGACTAATTTCCTTGTTTTTATTTAAAGATAGTTGCAAAAGAAGCTGTCCACGAGATAGAGGCAAATTAACAGCCATTCTTGCAGTTAGGATGAAATTTGAATTCAAGTTTTTTATAATCGCTACCTTGTCTTTCAATTATTATTGCTCTTGGTGTTGTTTCTG